TCAACACAATAAGTACACAGTTTGAATCACAGATTATTTTTTCTCGGAGAAATGAGAGATCATGAGACATGTAATGCAACATTTTCCGGAAAATTTCGATCGTGATTTTAGCTAATAAGCACTTGGAAACAATTTCGCTGCTAAAGTGCAGAATCGCCCACTCATTTGTTTGCGCTTTTTACAAGAGTAAGAAGAATTGGATTTTTGTCAATTTTCTTTGACTTTTTAAGTAAAAATAGGTCAATGTGCACATGGATAAAGTCAAGAGTGGGTGCAATGCCATTTTTGTGCAATTCTGGGATTTTTTTTTTTAAGTGAAAATAGGTTGAAGTGTACATGGATACCGTGTATGTGCAATTCTGAACCTTTTCGCGACGGCGCACCTTTATTTAAGATGTTCGTGCGGGACGGAAGAGAATCGAAGGCAGTCACCGTACAGGACGGAGGTTTTGCATCGCTAAGCCTAATTTTATAAGAAAAACAAAAGTTTCGCTTCTAGCATCGTAATTTTTGGTATCATTTTAGATTATTACTTGAGCTCTTATATATGTTAAAATAAGCCCTTAAAACATTTTTTTTTCTTTATTTTACATGAAAATATACTTAAAAAATTGCTTATCTTCTAAAATAATTTTCGGAAGTGCGATTCAAATTATTCCAAAGTTTTAATTGATAAAATCCATCAATAAAGTTTAAAATTAATAAAAAGAACACAATAAAGACTATTTAAAGTAAGAAGTAACAAAATTTAAAATGAAAACGAGTGTGGTAAATCTCGAAGCACAGAGAAGTATCACTTTGTAACTCTCAGAAAAACTTATCACTTTTTAACTCTTTAAAAAATGAATCAGTATTCTCATTTGCGTTAGTTAAGTTGTTCACTATCCATACTAGGGTATTCTTCCTCTGATAAATAGCGCCTTCCCACCATAATAGACTGGAGGTGAGGCTTTCCTAAATAAAAAAAGAAGGAACAGAAATATATCTGAAGGCAACGCAAAACATAAAAAAACTCCGCACAGTAACCTTAAAAGACCATACATAGTAGAGAAAAAAAATAAAATAAAAAAAAAGGAATTGGATATAAATCAGATATGAGAATGTTTTCATTAGCATGCAGTAATTTAAAGAGCCGACCTCTGTTTACGCTTTCCCTCCGCCCCCACCCTCGAACAGCCGATGAGTAAAAATACCAAAGTCAAGCAGAATATATCAAACTCAAGGTCAGGAACTTAAAACTGTGTTCATTTCAAAAGTAATGGACACAGGATGCCATCTAGTGGTCTTCAGAAAAACGTTCCACCCTAAAATGCGTATACGCATCACCCGTCCTCTGAATGCAATCTTTACTGATGCATGGATGGGACGCCCAGCTGTAAGAGACATTGGCTAATCTTTGGAATACGGTAACAGGTAGTTTGGCGACATTTGGGTAAGGCGATAAAGGTTACTAGCTAGGACTTCAGCAGTGTACATGGAGTGTCAAGAGTGTGCGCAATGCCATTTTTGTGCAATTCTGGGATTTTTTTTAAGTGAAAATAGGTCGTCGTGTACATATATACCGTGTATGTGCAATTCTTAAAAACGCGGCAAGCATTTGCGATTCTGCACTTTCTCCCAATTTCGCACCTAATCTTCGTCATGATTAAACACTTTTGTTCCATAAAAGTTCTAGCATAAGCGTAATTCGGCTAGCAGATTGTTGGAAAAAAATGTTGAAGGGGGGAAAAAAATGCCTTTACTTCGCGAAAACAAAATGGCGTCCAAACAAAAACTAGCAGGTTGCTGTAGCAGGGTTGGTAGCCAAATTTTCGCCAAAAATTCGCTAAGTTACCATAATCCAAAGATTAACCGAGACGTTCTTAGGGAATGCGTATATGGACCGCCCGTCCTGAAAGGGTTAAAAACGCGGCAAGCAGTGGGCGATTCTGCAATTTCTCCCAATTTCGCACCTAATCTTTGTCATGATTAAGCACTTTTGTTCATAGAAGTTCTAGCATAAAAATAATTTGGCTAGCAGATTGTTGTAAAAAATGTTGAGTAAAAAAAAACATGCCTTTACTTCGTGAAAACAAAATGGCATCAAAAAAAAAAAAAACTAGCAGGTTGCTGTAGCAGGGTTGGTCGCCAAATTTTCGCCAAGTTACCATAATCCGAAGATTCACCAAATATTTTTAATTAAACTTCTCAAAAACCATCATGAAATGTATCACCAAAAAAAAACACAGGTATTTTCTTATCATATTCAGCCCTACAAAAAGTCGCTAATCAATTAGCAATTTTATAAACTGGCCAAAAAAAAAAAAAGATTTGTTTGGCTATTATTATAGCAGTTATAGGTACTCTTTATTCATAAATAAACAGTAAAAATAAGAAGCATTTTATAAGAAACAAATTTTTTGAGACAGACCAAAAAAAATTATGACAAACATTTTTACAGTTGATAGATACTATTCAGCTAAATGATGGTTAAATATAAAGCATATAAATCCATGTGCATGTAAACACATGTATACATACATGCGTGGGTTAATTATTGTTATGTATACCAAAAATACATCAAAATATGGCAGTTCTACTGAACATTGAAATCAGGGATGCAGGAAATCAAAGTACAAAAACCACCGATTAACATTTTGCTTCAGCACTTTTTTTCCTTCCTTAAAATACATATATGGTGAAAATTAGAAATTTTTTATCTTTCATTTTTAAAATTGCAATGAAACTAATAAATGTTGAAATATAAAAGAGAATACCATGTTGAAAGGAGGAAAATTTTTTTCTTGGTAGTTCTAACCAAGGTCGCCTCTATAAGATATAATAAAGGTCAACTCTCCTCAGCAAAAAATAAACAGGAAAATTCTTTAGATTTGAAACTTCATATATTTATTTGAATAACCCAGTAAAATAGAGTGCACTTTAAATAGTAAATTAATTTCTAAAAATTTTCCGATTTTTAAAAATAATTGAAGTAACTTCCCATGACCTATTATAGTATGGTTTCTTGTACTTTCAAGTTTAACATACAGCATATAATATAAAGTCATTTGTACATCACTGTTTCAATGAGTAATGAGATATACTGGAAGTCTTTACACTATATCTAACATCATATTACTTCATTATTCTCAAACAGAAAAGAACATTTTCCAAGTCATTTATTATGTTTAAATATGATTCAAGAATCTAATTTAATTAAATTACTTTTATACATGTCTTGGCTAAAAATGCATATAACTTTAAATTTACAATTATTATCACATTAAATTATTAAACACACATAGAGATGCACCCTTTCTTCCTGAAGATTCACTACAACTAAGAACTGGAATTTGCAAAAATCTATTTTAAAATAAGTACTATCTTACTGACAGTGAAATATTTCTACACATGATTCTTACACTGATAATTTATAGATGCTCATTTTTAGATATAAAATATGAAAGACACTTAAAAATATGATTTTTAAATGCAGTAATAATACCTAATGCATAATTTAAACCATAATAAAAACAAAGTATGAACGAAAAGTTTTCGGTTGGATCCTAGCAGAGCCCACACCTTGGCGTGCCCACTTACATGGCATGTATCGATGTGTACATGGACAAAATCAAGAGAGTGTGCAATGTCAAGTTTGTGCAATTCTGGGATTTTTTTTAAGTGAAAATAGGTCGATGTGTACATGGATACCAAGTTTGTCCAATTTTTTGAATTGTTATTTTCAAGTTGGCAATTTCGAGAAACGCGCGAAGGAGTGCGTGATTCAGCACTTTCCCAGTTTGTCGCCAAGGGTGTGGGCTCTCCTAGGATTTTACCAAGTTTTCTTAAGGAGGAATGCCTTTGTCAAAGGTATCAATAGACAGCTGCTTATTTGTCAAAAAAAAAAAAAAAAAAAAACACAACCAATCCAAAATATTCAAAAAGTTTGTACATGCAGCTTAGTTTACACATGTAGTCAGTTCCCAAATATAAACAAACTACTAAATACAAACCAGTATCTTCTGATTATTCAGTACTTTCTGATAATTAAGTTGAGATTTATTTAAGTACTGGGTTCTCTTCCATATGTAAATAATGCACACTTAATATATAGTGTAACTTTAGGTCATTACAATTTTGAGCATATATATTACAGAAATTTTACTGCAGTTGAATAATAAATTAATAAAAGAGTCAAACAGAACATACCTTACAGAAACAGTAGAACTATAAAGACTACCAATTCTGTACTTTAAAATTTGATAACTTTCAAATTTAGTTAACCAGTGTTAATTCAGTTAATCAGTCCTATTTTGAAACATAAATATCTCAAATGACAGTACTAAATTGAAAGCAACCACGTAAAGATAAAAGTAATCATTTGTAATTTTTATAACTACCATTTTATGACGGATATGAATAAAATATCATCGAAATCTGACATTGCTTTAAACTAAAACTACTAACCTGATATGACAATCCAAAAATGAAAAAGATTTAAATTAGATTTTATATCATTAAACAATTTTTGTTTTTCAAAACAGGCTCCATAATATGCATATTTTTTTTTTCTCTGAGAAAATATTCTTTACATAAATGAGTAAATACTACACAACGCGGTGAATTTGCTCCCACAAATTATCAATATATCCACTTAACTCTAAATGAATATATAGTAGAAGGAACCTTTGTTAACCTTCTATTTTATACAACTTAATTCAAACTCGTAAATTTTATACACATGTGGTTTCAATATCAAATCTTAAAACAAACTGAAAATTAAAGCGTTTTACTTCCGATATTCGATTTTGCCCAGATTTTTCATAAATATCACTCCTTTTCCACTGCGAATTTAAAATCATGTACAGTTATAAACAAGTTAAATGAAAAGCTCTGTAGAATTTCAAAAATTGATTGAAATTATAAATTTATGGGGGAAAAAGGATGGCATATCATTTTCATTGCAGTTTTGACTTCTAAATTTATTTTTAATGTACATAGTGAAAAAAAATAACTCTTACCTCTACCACAGACATTGTCGCAATGAAAAGAAGAACGAACTATCTTTAGCACTATGCGAAAATCCGCAAACACTTAATTACAACTGGGAGGAAAATAAATAAAATTGCACTTCACCAACTTCCTTATAAAATTTCCTTGTGTTGATGCAAACACTGGATAATTTAAGGAAACTGATGTATTATCTATACTTCAACTGCTTCTACCTACTTGTAGATTGATTGATGTGGAAGACGCATCTCCTCTCACATATGTACATATTTTGTATCTTGTTATCATATTTTGTATTTTGTTTGACAGGACCAGTGTCAATTTAATATTTCAAATTGCTCAAACTTAACTATTATTTACCTGCATTTTTATTCTTTTCCCTTTTAAATTTTTCACCGAAGGAGTTACACCTGCATGTCTCCCTTTCAGGATATTTGTCACCAGCCCGAAAAACTTGCACTAGATGCTTCCCCCATTAGTCGACTCTGTTTCACTACACCTTTTAAATTCTTATCTTATATTAACTTGTTATTAATAAGTTAATGTTAATATCTTGCTTAACTTTATTACCTTTCTATTATAATATAAACGACGAACCTTAAAACTATTTGTGACAAAATTTATTATGTAACTTGTTACTTAAATCTCTTCATATAACTCAATTTTTTAAAATTATTATTTAGAAATTTTATTTGTGTTAATGCTCACATAATTGGTAATTTTTTAATTTTGTTCCATAGGGGTAGGGCCTTCGCCCCAGGTACACAAGTGTATACACCATTCGCCCGTGAAACAGGTGGAGGACACATCACTGAACTTTTTCCTGACTTTTCTTTATCTAATTCAGCTATATTATTAATTAATTTATTTTCTTGAAGAACTGACGTCTTTATCTCGGCGGTCCTCCTAGTGTTCTGAAGAGATCGGACCCAAAACAGAAACTCGCATCAAAAAAATTAATTCACAAATTGATAATGTCTGATGACTTATGATGTGAAGATGGGTAGACTTATAAGGTGATCTTACTATAGTCTTACTATAGTCCGTAGTTCTGCTTAAATATCCAATATTTACTTGGCTATGTATTCCTTATGTACCCAATGTTTTCGACCCATTATACATCAAGACATGCAATATTACGTAAAATTGGTAGTGTTGAAAATTTAATAACTTCAATTTCAAAGTTTTTTCCCTTTTATAAGTGTACTTATTGAAAGAAGGCTTTTTTCGCAGTTTTTATGGTTTTCCAAAAGACCACAAGAACTGATGAGTTTTCCTATAGAGCTTAGATTAGTACCTTTTGAATATTTTGCAAAAGTACAAAAAAAGTTTTAAGCAAAAGTTCTGAGTATTGAAATTTCTAACCTGAAATAAACATAGACGGCTTAAAATCTTCCAATGCATTTCCACCCTCTCTTCATATCCCCCTTTTCACTTTTATTTATACATTATTTTGATCTTTAATTAAATTGTATTTCTTAAATTTCTGTTAGTTCTTATCATACTATATAAGGTGTCTTGGATAATGTTCGAGGATGAGCCTCACAGCGGCGTAGCTAGAGGGGGGCAAGGGGGGCATCTGTCCCCGGGCGCAGAATCCAAGGGGCGCCAAACTGATGTTATGACATTTTAGAATTAAATGTTTTGCATCCTTTGCAAGCAGTAGGGGGCGCGAAATCTTCAGTTGTCCCTGGGCGCTGAAAACCCTAGCTACGACTCTGGAGCCTCATTGGCAACATTTGACTCCTGTACCTGGGCGATAATTTATTAAGTTAACAGAAATAAATATCATGTCACGAACATATCACTTATTTCTTGTTGAAGAGGCAAATTAAAACCTTTTCAAATCTATAAGCTCGAAAGCAACTTTTTTAACTTGCGGCGGTGCCCACGAGCGGCTGAACGATAAAGTCGGTGAACACTGGGAGTTCGGTCAGAGGTTCGAATCCAGCGAACGGCCTGGCTGAATGGGCGTTTTCGTGGTTCCCCCCCCCCTGTGCAACATGCATACGAGAAAGTTTCCCTTAGAATTAATTAGCCTTTCGATCGATTAATGTTCGAACGGCAACACCCACAAAACACCAGAAATTTGCCCTGAGTTGTATTTCTTGTCCAAGCTTATTTGCAGATACAAATGGCTGGGTGATTTTCATCGGGCTCCGTAACGGAAACTGGGCAATATTTCTACGTATAATGCACTTATGAACTAGTTTCCATCATGAAAGAATTTTTTGTCCTAGACAGTCCTAAAATATTTTGCAATAATCAAGTAATCCGACTTAACCCAAGGCCAGCTAGATCTGCAGTAATCTAAATGAAATCTCCCTATTCAGCGAAAAAGACCTATTTATTATTTACATACAGTAAATGAGATTGCACACTAAATGACATAGAGATGATTTATTGAAAATTCCTGTATATCAATGTACTATGTTTAACAGATGCATTAAATATAAAATATTTAATCCATGCAAAATAATATGGCAAAAGTTTTGTATCATGAAAAGTTTGGATAATGGTTTTCTCCAATTATGATTTAAATTAATACCTTCTTTTCTACATAGATGGTAGCAATATCTATAAGTAACGGATATGCTGCCGATTTTGTAATATCTTTTAATGCCATTAGAAAATATTTTGGCCTAATATTTGGTGATCTAGTAGCCAGATACTACTAGATCACGTAACTGAATAAATTTCGTAAAAATCATTCGAATGAAGTGAAATGATCAGAGCAAACTCGCAGTCTGCAAATACATTTTCATTTGAACCGGTGTTTTGGTATGGTTGGGGTCAATGGAATATCGCTTGCTATGAAAGCAATTGTAGAAATCAATTTTAATTTTTAAACAATCGTTAAAATCTGAAATTAACATACACGTGCTGCAGTCTGAGTCTGTACTTTAAATTTAAATATATTTTCGCCTTTCACGCTATTGAGTTTTGGATAGTTTATTCATGTGTCAAAAATGTGACAGTTTATGTTTACATACCAAAATATGTGAAACTGTATTTTTCTGACTGTTTTAAATATAAACTGTGTTTTCTATTTCGAAATTATATAAAGTGAAGTAAGTAGCGTTTCAATTTGTGTTAGGCTTTCCATAATATTTCATTTAAAATATACTTTTAAGTATTTCAGCTATTAACAATAATTTTAAGCACAGAAGTTAAACACGATCGGGAACATGTCAAGGCTTATGAAAATGCTTAATTCTTTTCAAGATATAATTTTGGTTTTTCAATTTAATTTTTTTGTATTTAAAAGAAAAAATAAATTATTTGATTTTGTCAGTTATATGGACATATTTAACTGTGTTATTGATTTTTTACGTCTTTGGTCCGAAATATGGAAAGAAAATTATAAATAATTTTAAAAATCAGAAAAGGAGTAATGTTTTATGTAACAGAACTCTAAAGATTAATTTAGTTTTAATATTTCATAAATATTTTAAGTTTTGTTTATTGTGTATATATATTATTTATTTCCTCTCTCTTCTTTTGAAAATTTTATTCTTATCTTTAAAATAAAATGTAGAAATGCTTTTCTTAATTCGTTTTCTTTTACGTTATTTTAAATACGTAATACGAAAAGAAGTTTATTACAAGTGTGATTCAATAAAAGACCTAATTAGTAAAGTGTCAGCTTAAAAGAATCAAAAGATTGAAAGATACATTTTTTAACAATTTTCATACATTTTTTAACAATTTGTGTATTACAGCTTTATTTTTTATGAATTTTGATTACAAATATAATTTATCTTCTGTGAAATTAATTTAGTTATTTAATCTAAAGGAAGAAGTAATATATGTTTGTGTGTAAGTTTTAAAAGTATTTATCTGTATCCAGAGTGAAAAGCTTACTTTCTAAGCAGACTCTTTTATTTATGAATTTGATAAAAGTAAATACAGATATTCTCTTCTATTTGGGAGGATATTAAAAGCAATTTTTCAGACAATTAAAATAATTTTAATTTAATAATTGTTAAATTACTATTCTGCAATAATAATCAAGTTAAATTTCTGTGTTTAGAAAAGGTATAGCAATCTCTATAGATTTTTAATGAAAATTTATTAATTAAATATTTATAAATTGTTGTTTCATTATATTTCAAAATATATTAAGTAATTAAGCTCTGCATAAGAGATGCACATCAACTTGCACTTAAATTACTGGTAATATTTAATGGATATCTAACAATCAGGAATAAAATTAAAGGCTCATTTTAATTTCAAATAAATGTTGAATTCATTATGAGGAGTAAAGTCCAATCTACATGTATTGGTGGAAAATTATTCTGCTATCAACACAGATAGGTGAATGTACTTAAACTAATGCAAATGAAGATGCTAAAATTAATGTGTTAAATAAAAAGATAAATTTGGATTTTTATTATGATTTAATAATACCCTTTCTACTAGATGACCAATTATATTTTGATTAATTTTAAGCATTTTAATTTCGAAAGTATGCGGGAAAAATCAATTTTGTGTGAATGGTTCTAAAAGCATTCGAATTATTATTTTTTAATTTTTTCAAAAGTCAATACATTTTAATTTTGTTTTTGAAGTAAGAACTAGACTAAAACTTGTCATTTTAATGAAAGTCGGAGGTTCTTTAAATGAGTAAGTTTTGGATCTGTTTATGTATTTTTCTTTAACTGTGTTTCTAAACTTGTTGGTTTTATTTTAAATAAATTTTTAATGAATTTGCTAATTGTATATAATTTGGAACTTGTATTTATAAGCAGTTATTCCTCTTCTGTGTATTTATCAAATTATTCAGTTTTGTCAAAATCTTGTTATTTAATATTCATTCCTTTTTAATAAATTTCCCTAAATTTCGGCCTGATCTCTTTTGTTGATTTCAAATAATCAAATGCAATTATAATTTTAACCATTTTTTTTATTACTCTTACTTTCATTTATTGAAAATCTTTATATTAATATATTTTATCTTGTTTTGGTAAAAAATTTTAATGAATAGTAATAAAGGAATAATGATAATTATAAAGATAAATTATGGTACTCTTCTGTTATCAGGACAGTATTCAGAAATGTATGTATGCATCTGTGTATGTACATATACACATAGATGCACATACATACCTACATTTCTGAGTCTGATCTCGATAACAGAATAGTACCTAAATTATTACTGAAAATTCCATTTATTGAAAAAGTATCTACGGAGAGGTTAAAATTCTA